AAAAATATTTAGGAACTTAAAATGTAAACTGGTGCCCAGTGACACGTGCATAGCACAGTGTACAATACCAACTACTTCATCTATTTTTGGTATTGAAAATATCACCATATTGAAGAATCTCAAAGCCTTAACATATCCCCCTGAAAAACTGACATTTTATAGGTCTCACGTGAAGCTTGCACTTCAGATTCTCCCTCGATCACCACTTAACAGACCAGCATGGACCCTCCTGCTCCAGCAGCGCTGAGAACCTGTCAGGAAATGACACTCAGAAAGTAATTACTGGAGTTTCACTGTGGAAACTCAAAGGATAAATTGAGTGGTGTTGCACGGGAGACTGACTCTGCTTTGTACTACTCAGTTTCTCATTAGTGATCCAGTGGCTGACTAGAGATTTTGGTTGTTAAATTCACAGACTTTGACACGAAGGTGGAAAAGAATTGCAGATGGGTTGAGAGGGGGATTCAAACCCAAAACAGCCTTGACAAATGAGAGAAGCAATAATATATAATTCAGCAAGCAGGGGAAAAAAAATCCTGATGTTCAGCAGGAACTACCAGCTTCACAAGCCCTGGCTGAAGCACATGTTTTCTGCAGAAAAAGACCCAGAAGTTAAAGCAGCTTGCAGAGTGACACCAGTTACAAATGTCCTGCTGTTGGAATAAAAGGGAATATTCCTCAGCGAGGTTCCAGGCAGTGGCACAGCCAAAACACGAGTCCTCCTGCAGCACTCAGCACTGAGAAAGGGTTCTGCTGGAATAGGGTGTGAAGTTTTCCATGCCCCCAGAAAAGAGTTGGAGGAGTCCAGCTCAGGACAATGAGAATAATGAGAGCTTTGGAAAAACGTGATTTGCAATTGAAAAGAGGAAGGATTGGATTTCAGAGCCCAGAGAAGGCTGGGGCAGGCACAGCCTGCAGGTACATAAACAGCTGCTGCAAAAAGGAAAGGAGCAGGTTGCTCCCTGTGTGGTGGGATGAGAGGAAATACAATTTAAATTACAGCAAAAGAGGTTTGGAAAACAGTAAGGATAACACTGAGTTGTCCAGGGAAAACTGTGCAATCTCCCACTGCTAAGCATCTTTAAGAATAAAGAAAAAGATTTATAGACACTGTGGGGTGCAAAAGCCTTGGATGGTGCTTTGTGCCAAACCCAACCTCCTCATTTGAAACACAGTTTCCACAGTTATTTTGCACTTTATTCAGTCCAAGCCTGAGAAGAACAGGTGGTTTCACTGCTTTTCAAAGTGTCCCTTTTAGAGCAAAGTGGCAGTCAGAGATTTAAAGCTTTTAGAAAACTTCACCCAGGCTATGAGTGTTTATTTCCAATGCAGAGATGGTCCCTGAAAAACCCTCCTTCATGTTAGGCACGTGCAATTTTAAAGGAAGATTTTCAAAAGCCTTCAGGGACAGTTTTACACTGAGCACATTCAGTGCAAGAGTAAAACTCCCATTGATTTCCATGTCCTGCCCCCATAGAAGCACACAGTATGTCCTGAATATTTTAAATTACACTTGATTTCAAAACAATACTTAAGTGTGAACTTACCTAGCAATTTCTTGGTGTATTGAGGTATAATTTAAATGCTGTAATACCAAATACACTGAAATAGAATAAAGAAGGTGGCTCACATAGAAATATTTCAGTTAGTTACTAAAATAATAATGTTCTATGCCTTTAGCTACAGTAATTAAAATAATCCACAGTGATAAGAACTATTGAGGATTATCATATTTGCTTATTAGCATGGTAGTCAAATTAATCTTGGGCTATTTAACAGCAACATCTAATCATTTTGGAGGAAAACATGCATCTTTCTACTCACAGGCTTACAATCTCATCTTGTGCCCTAATGTCTTGTAAAAGAAAGATTCATATCAAGCAAGAACAGGGTTGCTAAAATTATTAAATGCTGAACAAGACTCATTTCATTATACTCGAGGTTTATTAGATCATTTTAGTTAACACCTGCTAAGCAAAGAGTATGAAGTGCAACACAGACAATGTAACACTGATTTCACGCACATTTAACTGAGGATCCAGGGCCTCCATGAATTTTACATTAATTAGGTGGAACATTTAATGAACAAACCTTTCATTATGCTCTAATCAAAACACAGTCTGAGAGCTCATGGAAAATCCCCAAAGAGCATCCATCTGCTTGTGTATAATTTCTGACCTAACTTTTTCTTTTCCCAGGATTCTGATTTGTTAATAAATCATCCAAGTAAAATGTTTAGGTTAAAATGGGCTATTTCTCTTTCTCAATCTCCAACAGATTTAGCAGAGTATGATCCTTGTCTGTATAAATGTTATGTTCTGAATACTTGCCTACAAAAAGACACTACATTTTCTGAATAGGATCAGATTCCTCAGGAACAGTTCTCTGGACATCTATTTAGGGTGAGTTTTAAAGTCCTTTCTTAAACTCAGGGAATAATTTCTATCCAAAAAAAAAAGGTTGGCAATATTCATTGTGCTCCCAGTTTCAGGAACTTGGACAATGCTGAGGATGAAACAGGACAGATGGAGCTCCAAATGGCTCAGTGGCAGGAAATTTAACTGAGGGGCTTCATCTTTGCCTGAGGAGGACATCCCTCAGGATGTGCTTTATCCCTGTCCCACAGGCATTTCTTATCCTCTTTGTTTAATGGGCTATGTCCTGCTAAGCGGCAAACATCAAAATTCAGAGCAGCCTTCCTGGACCTTTCAACACATTCCCAAGTTTTGAGGTGTTTTTAGATGGATCAAGCAAAGGTGAGCTCTGATTCACACACAGAACTCTCATATTGATGTTTTAGCCTGACTCCAAGTGATCCTGGCTTTAAGGACAGGTACAGCCTCAAAGTCACATGCACTGTTAGAGCATTTCTCACCCTTTTCTCACTGCAGAACCCCCAGACAGCCAGGAGGACCAAGGAAGCTGAACTGTCTCCAGTCCTAGGCACCAGCTGACATTTGACATTAACTGCAAAGACCAGACTCTGGACAGCCAAAACATCAGAAGCCCCAAGAGATCAGCAAAGCATCACATTTCTGGTTTGGAGTCCTTCAAAAATAGCCCATCTCAAAGGCTACAAGAGCTGCTCCCAAGGCTGGGCACATGTTCATGAATATACATATCTGAAGATATGGGATCATTTGGCCTTATTTAAATGGAATTGATCCCTTGGGAAGTATACAGTGAAAATCTGCTTTAAGGTACCTCGGAAGAGATCAGGGAAATAAAAATTGGGAAGAAAAAAAAAACATCAATCACTTAAGAGAGGTGGCCTTTAACAAAAAGTCTAACAAAAATTGTAGGGGAAAGTCATGGGGATAAAGTACTTTAAAGTAGCTGATTAAAGTAAGGCAAGGTGGAAAGCAAAAGATCTGACAGCCATTCTACCTTGCACCTTGATCTTCCCAGCTCTCAGAAGACTTAGATGAAAAACCTCAGGAAAGCATACAGTCAAGTTCTGAAAGGAGTCCACAAAAAGTTTAAAACACACATTTTTCTCAGATACAGTTTAGTTTTGCAAATGTTTTAGTGATTGTACAACCTGAGCTTTGTACATGTGCTTTATTGCAGGCTTTGGGGAGTGAAAGAGAGTGAGAAGTGGCACCATCTGGTTCTGGTTTCCTGTTTTCAAATTCTCATTCATGTAAAGCCCTTTCTGGTAGCAAACATTTGGTTATTTCCACATCTGTGCTGTCCCCAACCTCCCCAGCAGTACCTGAGGTAAGAAATAAGAGCAATGATTCATCACTGCCACTCGTGCCTGTGTGTTGGTGCCAAGCAATAAACACACAGGTTTCAGATAACAAAGAAAGGGAAAACACTCCCAGGCTGGATTTGTGCCTTTCCAACCCCACTGTTGTCAACAGCTTCTCCAAATAGATCCCAGCACCTCAGGACACTGAACAGAGCCAGATGGGACCTGCAATTTTATAACACTTCAGGTATTGTTACTTGAGGTGCAGCAATTCACTTCTGTCTGGCTCCAGGACTCAGTGTTTGGATCACCTGTTACACTGCTCTGCACAAACCTCCCAAGGCCAAGGAGGCTGATGTTGTGTGGAGATAACCAAAGGCAGGCACCTGTCCCTTCCTCCTCCTTGACAAACCAAAGAGCAACAAATAGGAGAAACTTATTTTCTCCCTTCAACTTCTCTGGGTTTGTCCAGAGTCTTGCCTAGAAAATCTGTCCAATGGACATCCCATACTCAGGGAAGAAGTGGAACCATGCAAACAGGGCTGGATCCTCCCCAGCCCCCCTTGGTGGCTGCCCAGGATAAGTCAGACCCCTCCATCACCTTCTCAGCCCGTGTGCATCAAAATCATCCTTTTTCCTAATTGCTATTTACTCCAGGTCACACACCAGGGAGCCTCTGCCAATACATCCCATCAGCTGTCCTAGTTAGACTTAGAGAGGAGTTTTCCACTGCTCAATTCTCCAGATAATAGACTTCCAAACACCCAAGTATTGAAACAGGTAGAATGCTACAAGACTGTATCTGGCAGGCACTCAGACAAATCCAATAGTGCTGCAAGCTGATGTATATTCAATTCTGGCATATCAGTCACTTCAGATTCCACTGTGATTATCAAAAGACTGCTTCTGCCTATAATATAAACCACTTTTTTCTCCCCTCCAATTACTTTATGGAAATTTTTAGCACAGATAATACATAGTATTAATAAATCCTCTCTAGCATGGCAATAGAAAGACTGATTTTATCTCTTTGTCCCTCTTCTTGTATCAGGAAAACCTCACAAGTTTCAACTTTCTTAAGAATAAAGCACACAAAAATATTGTCTCATCCACATCTTCTGCAAACCCTTTCTGAAATATTCGACCTATCTGAGCTTACATTACATAATAATCAATTACATCAAACAATCTACTGCAAATTTCTTACCAGTAAAGTACAAAGTCATTTTCAGGTTCTGAAATGCCTTCTCCAGTTACACACAACAAATAGCACTTTCACACAAGCCACAACAATTTCTGCCTTTACCTGTGAAAAAGTGTCTTGTGTTCTTGTATTATCCATGTCTGTGAAAATTCTATTTGTTTCATCAGTATCCTACAGGGTTGCAAAGTACAGTTTATTCATGAATCACACCTGCTTTTCCACACCACGCTGCTAGTTCTCTCTCTCTGCTTCTCTCTCTTATGAAATCTTGCAGCCAATGGTTTTTATTAAGTGTTACTTCCTTTTATGCTGAGAACTGAAAGAAACAATAATGATGCTTTGCTTCCTTATGGCAGCTCTGTGAAAAGACAAAAAAAAATGTAGAAGTTGTTTGTTTGCTTTTCCTGAACTGATATTTATGTTCTGGGGACTTCCTGAAGTCACCAAGCCATGAATATTGAAAATTTGATTTATTACTGTACATTGAATTTATCAGAACACCCAACACGTTAATTGCCCAAACAAATTTTGTGCTAAATGTAATGAAGTTTGCCTGAGGAACTGCAAATACAGTGCTCAGTTTTCCCAGCAGTGTTTTTATGCACAGCAACAATCTTTAACAGGTCTTCAAACTCCAGCATGAATATGTTCATGTTGGATGAAAGCACAAAGGCACCTGCAGCTTAATGTACCAGATTCCTGTAAAGACAAAGAGCATTTCAAACTTTGCCTTTGCTATCTGTACTGGAGGAGAGAGTCTAGTGATTAGAAGAGGGAATTACCAGTAGGACATTCCTGAAATCTAACCCTGGCTATGACAAAAATTGTTCAGCAGCTACAGGGAAAATATACCTCAGTTTTCCCACAGATATAAGGCAGCTTCTATTGCACCACAAAACCATATTGAAATCAATTTGGAGATTAAAAGTTCTTAACAGACATGGCTGGAAAGTGGAGTCTTCATATTTTGACATTTCTTCTCCTCCAAATGGAGGCAAAAGGGAAAACCAAAAGCTATGAAGTATCTCCTGCAAAGCACAGCTTTTAAGAAGTGACAGGAATTGAAACATTCTGATGAGGAGTCTCCTTCCTCTGCTGGTCTAGAGGCAGCTTTTTAATAGAAACACGGGAAGTTGAGAAGTTCAGTGCAGAAGAGGTGCCAACGGACCACTCTGGGCTGAGGGTGGTCCCTGGCTCAGCCCAGCACACCCACTGCTATAAATCCCACCTGCTCTTTCAGCTGATGCAGTTATGGATCCCCACTGAGGAGCTGGACTGATTTACCTGCCAAAAGAGGCAAATTCAGGCTGGAAGGCAGAGACAAGCTGAGGAAAACATCACAGTACAGCGTTGACCAACACATTCACCTTGTAGCAGGTTGTCAGCATCCCAGACACAGACCTCAAAGCTGTGCCTCAGGGCAGGCTCTGGCAGCCCCACAGTCAAGAGCCTTTAAACCCACACTCACTGAACCAAATGGACCCAAGAGAGACCCCAGTATCAAACAAGTGGGAGAGAAAGGATTAGGAATTAACTCTCTCAGATTACTTAAGGCAGTAGAAATTAAATGGGAGGTCAATATATGCTAATATAAACAGGTTTTAATCCTTTGAACTGGTTAGAAGTCAGTCCTATTCTTTGAAAGAATGTTAACTTAACACAGGCCAGTAATGTAACAGGGCCTGACTGAGCCCAGATCTTCTGTAGGAATATTTAATAAAAGATTGTCTTTCAATGCTCTCAATTCTGACTATTCTATGTCCAGCGGGAGAAGATGGAAATTTTTTACTAAACTGGAAAAAGAAATAATTGGAAATATGATTCTTTGATAGCTATCTCAAGTCATTTGGTTAAAATAAAATAGCAACTAATTCACTCAGAATCAAATTTCTAGTACCAGCCTGTTCCCCCTTAGAGTCCTCAGCCCTTGAGGAACTATGATTTTCTTTTTAAATTAAACAATCCCGAGGAACTCCTTTTTATAATGTGATTATAGCAGCACAGAACATTTCAGAATGGGAAAATGACAGGTCTCTTTTATAAAGGTTCTGCAGAGATATCAGATGGCCTTTTCCCCTCCACTGCCTGCTGAACAGCACGTTCTGCAAAGTTACAAAGCCTGAGAGAAAGCAGTTAATCAGGATAGAGCTCAATTGCTACTCTTAGAGAAAACATTTTCAATTAATCTGAAGTCGTTAATTACACCTCCCTTTAATAAAGGCTCGGGTGTAATTTTCTTTTTTCCCCCTCTAAGTTTATCGATCCAAACATATGCCAGACTCATGTGCTGCAACAAACACGTGGGAAAATTCACTGCTGGAATAAACAAATAAAATACTCTCCTCGATAAACCACATCATGAAGATGCAAATTATGGGGGAAAGAGTTTGGGAATAATTGTGGAAGAACAAGAGCACTTTGTGCATTGTCTGCCACATGCAGGGACACCTTCCACTAGCCCAAGGTTGCTCCAAGCCCCATCCAACCTGGCCTTGGACACTTCCAGGGATGGGGCAGCCACAGCTTCTCTGGGCAACCTGTACCAGGGCCTCACCACCCTCACAGGGAACAATTTCTTCCCAATATGCCATCTAACCCTGCTCTCTGTCAGTTTGAAGCCATTCCCCCTTGTCCTGTCCCTCCAGGCCCTTGTAAATAGTCTCTCTCTATCTTTCTTGTAGCTCCTTCAGGCACTGGAAAGCCACAATTAGGTCATCCCAAAGCTTCTCTTCTCCAGGCTGAACAATCCCTATTATCTCAGCCTCCTGGGCTTTAGGCTAAAAAGACTGACTTGTCTCAGATTTACTGACAGAAATTCTGAAACGCCTTTTTCCAAACTTCCTTCCAGCCACGAGGTGTGAACCTCTGTGCCAGCTTTCTGCTTCCTTTTATCTCAGCCCTGGGAGTGACTTCACATGCCAGAAATTAGGGACTTCCCTACCTGTTTTCTGAAATGCTAAATCCCCAGCAGTTTTCCAATAGCATACTGTGGCCAACACCCTGTGCAAACTCATTGTCTGGTGCTTTTTGTGGAAGTTAAACTAAAAAACAAAACTTCCTATGGCCAGTATGTTTTTAATCAACCTAAATATGCGTCTAATGGGCAAAAGTAAAAAAGAATGTTTATGTCTCCTTCAATTTATTAGAAGAATTTTCCTGAATATTTTCATACCTAAGAAAAGGACATAGTGAAATAAGTTATTTTAAGTTAAAAAATGAGAGTTGAATGAAATTATTGTTTAAATAAATAAATAAAGCATTAACTTCATAGAAACATTTTTGCCTCTCATTCAAGCATGAATGTTCCAGCAGGACTGGAACACTCTCAGAAAATATTTAGAGCTGATAAAACAAAGCCTTTCACTGAAAACTTGTTTCACCTGAAAATTACTGCCTAAAACCTGTTTTATAAAAGGGTTCTTTCTTTTTTCTGTGGAATGGTGCTGAAAAACAGAGGAAGGCAGAGCTCCTCGTGACTCCATCACATGAAGGGGGGGTTGACTTTGTACCACCAGAATACCAAGGGTGCTGATCAGCAGAAAGGAATGAGGGGAGACATGCTGGGGGCAAATCAGGAAAAAAAAAACTGGGGGAGAATAGATGAGCAATAAACAGAAAACAGTTTGTTTTTCTAAGAAAGAGGAAGAAAAGGCTGAAAGGACAAGAAGGGACAGAGCATCCACTCCAAAGGAAGCACACTGCAGTTGTAACACTCCTTAGACCAGGTAAATCAAGGAACTGACTGAGATACTGGACAATAAACATCCTCACATTAAGGGTTGGTGTGAGAAAGGACTTACATGTGCTGCTCAGTGACCAAATGAGAGGCTGTGCCTTGAACTGCAACAATCCCTTCAGCTCAGCCTGGATCTCACAGGGACAAGAGACATCAGGCTGAGAAACTTCTGGTGCACAGGAGACCAGCAGAGAGGTAACTCACCTGTAGGATGTTGGGTTTGCTCTTTACATTAAATCTTTATGGTTATTAGCTGGCTAAGCACTGGCCTTTTTCCATCTGTTGTTTGTCTGCAAGCCCATCCATCCATCCTTCCTTCCTTCCTCCCGTGAGCTCATTCCTCCTGCCATGGAAGTTTCATGGTTTAGGAGCTCTCAATAATTTTATTTTAGTTGCTATTTTAAAGCAACCAGTTTGGCAATCCTGGGGGCCTGACACCCTTCATTTACCACATGAGCTGCCCTGCCAGGGAGCTCCAGATCATAGCTGAGACACCTTCAGCTCCTCTGTGCCCCCTCTGAAGCCAGTGATGCCAAAAAACAGAGCTGGGAATCACTGATAGGACAAGGGATGAGGGAGGAGTGGGGAGCCTGGTCCTCCTCACACCTCTAAGGGATAATTGTCTTTATTTTTAAAGAGACAGAGATATTTGGGGCTATATGACAGGGATTATTTAGGTTTTCAGGATGAATAGAGCCCTTGCAATGTTCTTTGAGTTCACTGAAGTTTGGCTCAGTGCAGAAGCCAAGAAGTAAAAAAATAGAAACCCCTAGCAACTCAAAAAAGATTACTAAATATTATTACCTAAAAATCACCTGTGCTTGGTAACATAAGCAAAAGTCCAGTATTTTGAAGCAAAGAAGATCTTTTGGGCTGAAATGGACACCTTCCTCTTCATTTCACATGGTGGGGAACTGTGGCAACCAGATCTGAAAGGAACTGGAAAAGCAACCAAACATGTTGGAAGGAAACCCTGCCAGGGTGTTTTGGTTTTGCTGTTTCCTCAGGGATTATCTAGCACAGAAATTGATGGTACTGCAAATTCTAGTATTTCTATTTGACCTAATTTTGATTCTGGTTTTAAGCAAGAAAAATATCGATGCACAACAGTTTATGCTCCACTGAACTGGGAGGTCCCCTGTGCATTAAGTGCAAGGGGGAAAAAAGGGTGGGGGTAGTGAACAGAAGATGAGTAATTTAAAATTGAAATTTCTGACAAGCAAGTGAGTCTGTGAAACTAAATTCAGGTCGAGGGTGACATCTAGTGATGCTCAGCACACAATCCTCTCACAAATTCTGCCCGTTTTTGCAGTATTCTCACCCATTAATCTTTCCCAAGGTACACAGCTCCACCCAACTTAGCTTGTTCTATGTCTCTACAAATTTTTTTCTTAAACTGGAAGCAGAAATAATACATTTCAATACAAAAAACGAACAGTTTGTGTTCAGTTATT